CTGTGATATCGACGAATGAATCACGATGTGTCATGAGTTATGTAAACAACGTTAGACATTTTGAAATTTTAATGTATTTCTCGTCTGTGTATTTCATTTTTTTTTTTTGTTATTTGCTTGTAGTACGTTACAAGTATTTCTGGCAACAACCAGCGGAGTGGTCAGGTTTCCAAATTTAAAAATATCATAGGTACACACACACAAACGCACGCACACGCTTAGATGGCGTTGTATCTTAGAAACTAATTTATAAATTAATGCTTCCTAACATGACTAGATGGCGCTAATCTTAATCAAACAAAAGAATAGCCTGTGATTTCTATAAAAAATATGTACAATAAGCGCCATTTACTTAATTTGTTTGTTATCACTAGAAATTAAAGTAGCTTGGATAAATTGCACCTTGTTAATGTAAAACAAATCAGTTACAAAAGTAAGTATTTGGTACTCGCCGTGATAAATGTTGTCTTGTACCGCAATTAGCAGCCCTTTTGAGTTATTGATCCATGGTAAAAGTAATGTTTCTTTTGTTAGAGGTTAGTGTATTTTTGTCATAAATTAATCGTTGCTTTTTGTTCCAGAAAAGTGAGTCAATCGTTTTTTTTCTTCTAAGAATTGTAACTCGTCGTAATAAAAATCTTTTATTGGGTAAACAGGTCATTCTGAGAATTATCGGAACATTCTGAGCTACTTTTATTTGGCATCGACTACGGTTTAACCGCAATTTAATAAAATATGACAATATTAGACTTAGTTCTTTATTACGGCATTACACAACTATGAAATTTTTATATTAAGCGGGAAGAAAAATATTTATTTAGTTATAATAAAATTGTAATGTAAAAAAGAAAGACGAATCTCCCTTAGCTGTCAGTTGAGACCGCGTAATAGTACACTGTGTTTTGCGAGGAAATAAATATATAAATAATAAAACAACACAACAATTATGGATTTGGTAAATGGCGGGTTTTTTTTTTAAATTCTTCCATAGATAATACATCTTAAACTAAACTATTGTAAAAAGCAAACATGCATACAGCCATGACGATATAAAAATAATTAATAATTAAAATCACTTTATGAAATACTTAATAATAAGTATTTAAGTAGTACGTGGCAGAATTGCAATTAAATTTCTGTTTAGATAACATTTTATGTGAATGTTTTAATGAACTTAAGTAACTTGCTTGAACTTGAACCTAACTTATATAAGGAAGTATGTCGTGCTACAAATTAAAAAAAAAACTCCTTACCGACTATGGCTGTAATGGAAAGAAAAAAGACCCGTGGTTTTTATTTGGGGCATTATAGTCACGTTAGCCACCATTCAATCATAACATTTACGAACGTGATGAAAAATATTTAACAGTTTGCGGCCACAAGAAATAGTACATTTTGTAGCGACAACTGTAGCCATTGTTAACTCATGATAGAAGTACCGTATTTAATTAAAATAATGCTTTTGTGTTTACATCCAGTTTTGCTGAAATTTAATAGTATCTGAAAGTGTAATGGAAATTTTACCTTCAAATTAAATTCCTCAATCTTAACATAATATTAGGGGTTAAAGTATGAAATTGCCGTTTTATTGCAATAGGTTCTTTGAATTTTCATAGAATCTTCATGGTTTGAGGTTTTCGAATGAAACTTTTTTCAAATGGTTTCTGTGATTTTTTTTTTTTTTAAATTTGAAACATTTGAATATCGACTTTCAATTGTTTTTGTTATTCAATTTAGACAAGAAAGATGGATACTGCGAAAATTCGAGTGATTTTTGAATACGAGTTCCGTCGCGGAACTAACGCGGCAGAAACAGCCCGCAATATCAATGCTGCGTTTGGAGAGGGGTCTACTAATGAACGCACCGTGCGATTTTGGTTTAAACGCTTTCGTGATGGAAATTTCGACTTAAAGAACGAGCCACGAGGAAGACCGCCCACACAGGTGAATAACGATGAATTAAGAGAGATAGTGGAAGCCGATCCTAGTCAAACTACCCAGGAATTAGCGGCATGGTTTAACGTTACCTTACCCACAATATTGACTCACTTGTGTCAAATCAATAAAATAAAAAAATACGAAAAATGGGTGCCTCATGATTTGACTGATCTGCAGAAAGAAACGCGTGTTGAAACTTGTGTTGCCTTGTTGAACCGGTACAGAAATGAAGGAATATTGGATCGAATTGTAACATGTGATGAAAAGTGGATTCTTTATGATAACTGGAAAAGAAAAATGCAATGGCTGACCCCAGGTCAAATGCCACAACAGTGTCCTAAAGCAAAACTTACCAATAAAAAGGTAATGGTAACTGTTTGGTGGTCTCAGCATGGTGTTATTCACTATAGTTTTCTCCGATCTGGTCAAGCAATAACGGCAGATGTCTATTGTGCCGAACTCCGAACCATGTTGACAAAACTAGCAGTAAAACAGCCCCGACTCATGAATCGATCTTCACCATTATTGCTCCACGACAACGCGAGACCTCACACAGCACGAGAAACCATTTTGACCCTTCAGGAACTGCAGTTAGAAACCATTCGTCATCCTACGTATTCACCAGACCTTGCTCCAACGGACTACCATTTTTTTCGTGATTTGGACAATTATCTACGTGACAAGAAGTTTTCTTCCCAGGAGGCAGTACAAAATGCTTTCACACAGTTTGTGCAGTCTAGATCGTCGGAGTTCTATCGCAAAGGCATTAATAACCTTCCCATTAGATGGCAGCAATGTATAGATAATAATGGCAACTATTTTGATTAAATAAGTTTGTTAAAAATTTAAAAAAAATAAACAATTTAGATTTTCAGTACAAATCGGCAATTTCATACTTTAACCCCTATTATTTCGGTTGTTGTTAGTCGTAGTAGAGTAACCTGTTTTTGTTTGTCTGACGCTACGACAAAAAGGTCGTTAAAAATAAAAGAAACAAAGATTTGCAACAAGCACAATAGAAAAATTCGTAAGATCTGCTGGTTGGTTCCGTAGCTCAGTACGGAGAGCGCCTGACAGGGATTGCCTGAAGGCGCTGGTTCGATGACAGCCGGATCGAACGAATTATTGTTAATGTTCGATCTTTGTATTAATAATTATAACAAAGTAGTGAAGTAATTTCACAAAAAATTCATTGAATAGCGTGGTAGTAAAAAATCGTGACATTCAAGATTCAAAATTCAAAAGCAGTTATCTTGTACATTTATAATATTTATTTTTATTTGTATTTATGACACTAAATAATGGGACGACCAAGTCGCAGATGCAAAAAGAAATGCTTCGAGGTCGGTCTCAGAGCATTGTAATTAATACCATATTTCAATTGAAATTGCATAAAAATTCATAAATTTAATGCACGAAGGTACGAAGGTTTAATGTAAGAAGGCAGAGGCCTTCCCGTACGCCGATATATGTTGAAGCTAATTTTTCAGGTTATCGATCTGCGCCCGTCATCCTGAGACATAAGTTGAAGTCCCATATGACTGTAATTTATTTATTAAACTTCACAGAATGGTACAAAAGGCGGACTTAACGCTAAAAGCATTCTCTACCAGTCAACCTTTGAGGAAATCGAAATTCACGAAATTAAACAAAATAATAAATTAATAATTTAATAATAACACAAATGTAATAAATATATAATCAAATATACAACAAACAAACTGGACATATACGATGATGATTACCGCTGTGACAAACAATTTAAAAGATGCTCATGGACTTTCTTTTTTAAATAGGATAAACTAGGAGACCTTCTGATGGAGTCTGGGAGAGCAGTCCAGAAACGTGTTGACTGGAGAGTGAAGGAATAATAATTTCACCACCATCAGTACCCTTCAAAACCGAAACTCAGTATTGTTCACCTTTTGAAGCTCAAACCGAACACTGTAATGAGTGAATAAAAATGTCGTAAAACATAATTTTCATTGTTACACATCGGAAATGTAACTATTTTTCCTGGTCTAAATCGTCATTACACGTCCCATGGACACGGGTACGAAATAATCTCAGTACAGAGTACTAAAAAAACCGACCTCAAAAGTACGTGGAATTACGTCTATTTGCTAAGTTTTATTGAAATATCCCCTAGTTCGCCACTATACAGGACTTGACACGGAGGTAATAAAAATAGGTTCTTACTACGACACTACTCAAATATATTGTAATATATTTAATATTATATAAGTATATTCAGAGAAAAATGCCTTGAATTGGAGAAATAGCAAAATCAACCATTAAAGTAATTGCTCCTAAATTAATGTTAGGCGCTATTTATGAAAATGAATCTTCATGTGTGAACAGCCACCCTTCGAGGTGCATTATTTTCTTCAAAATGAAATGGGACCACTATGGAAGTATCCCCTTTCCAACAAAAAAAGTATCATGAAAATCGGTTCACAAATACTGGAGTTATCGCGTGACATACAACATACAAAAAAAAAGAACATACAGACGAATTGAGAACCTCCTCCTTTTCTGAAGTCGGTTAAAAATAGTTGTATTTCCTAAATATAATTATTAATACAAAGATCGAACACTCGGAAAGAATCCTTCGATCCGGCCGGATTCGAACCGACGTCTTCTTGCATACCGTGCCAGACGCCATACCAACTAAGCCTCGGAACGCGAAGCTCATGAATTTTTCTATGTATTTGTTGTCATATCTTTGTACCTATTTGGTTTTTTCAACGACTTTTTAGTTGTAGCGTAAGATTTCTCATAGCCATCACCCAGTTAGATACCTTTACAGCCACCAGCCCCGGCTAGAGATGTCGCTATTCATTGTATTTACATTTTTATTGAATTAATATTCAATTATTTTTTATGTGAAATTACTCCACTAGTTTGTTATTATTATTAATAGAAAGATCGAACACTCAGAAAAAAATTCCTTCGATCCGGCCGGATTCCCTAATTCCCTTTGTTCAATAGAAAATTCCATTACCACAGTTTTGTTAAAATAATTTCTAGCAGTTGAGGTAACAAAGAATATTTGTTCCCAGGTGTGTCGCACGACCGTTCGTACGTGTTGTTCCGCTTGGGCAAACGTGTGTCGTCTCCCGTTCGACAGTTCGCCGAATCTGGGCGTTCGGACGCGCTCGGTTCGGCTCTAGGCACACTCGATGTGTTTGGAGCACCGGCGGTGACACAAGGCGCCGGGAGGACCGAAGCCGAATTTTTTGTCGATGGAAATCATTCTAGGGTAAGTTTTCTCATTTACACATCTAAATTTTCTTTAAATTTACATTCTGAATGAAATTCGGCAATACATATGTCTATAGAAAATTGTCTCCTTTTAGTGTGCATACCTTAATTAGTTAGTACTGTTTGCCGTTTTTTTTTCTATTATTTGAAAAGTGAAACACAATTTTATAAACAAAAAATGCTACAGCACAAGTTTCGACCTTCTTTAGATTCCAGCTCACTCATAAACTATAATCAGGTTATAATTAGTACTAAATAATGTAGTTTTTTAACAATTTTGTACTCTTCAATGGAAGAAAATACATACTTTTTACTAAAGATATGCACAATTTGTTTATATTTTCTTAGCCTGAGATGTTCTGAGGTCAACATTTTTAACGCTGTCCTTTATCGGTCAAGCAATACAAATATAAATCTACACAGGGTAAACTACTGCAGATAAAAAAGGAAATAAGTACTATGGAAAAAGGTGAAGACGATGTTTAGTTACAAAGATTTTTAACAACATAGGTTGGTTAAGAAATGACAAAAAATATGTAAACATTCACTACGACGTAAGTTAACAGAGTAGCTATTAAAGTAACTCTTTATTTGATCAATTAAGTACAAGTTTTTTTTATAATCTCAAGTGATGGGACGAACAAGTCGTGTGCCTGGTAGTAAGTTACACAAGTGTCCTTAATAGTTGCAGTGCCTCTTAGAGCTTTGTATCGCAAAGATCTGAGGAGCACTGCCACTGAGCCTGTCACCCTGAGACATAAGTTGACAAGTCCCATGAGCTGTAATTTCGCAAGTATATGTTATTATGAAATACATTAATTAGACATAATTACAAGTGCACATGACGCCAACAAATTGTACAGCAATTGGACGATTTTAGTGTATAAATATTGTTTTGTATTTTTGAATTATAACATTAATAAACAAAGCAAAATTATACGTATTCCTACAAGTTTATAAATAGGTAACATAGTTGATTTAGACAGTCCAATTTTGAACAGTTTTCCAATTAAAAGCATACAGTAAAAAGTGTAATAAAAATAAACGACAAAGCGTTTAACCTTATTAGTTCGATAATAAATTTGCAACTCATTATTAACGCAGCAAGCAAAAACTAATAAACCCACCGCTTTTCCGATATCACCCGGATTCACGAAACCGGGTAATAATACACGTATACAGCGGGTTATCTGTGTTAATTTTACAATTAAATTTGTGAATCGATTTTCATTCTCCCGTGTCGTATAAAACTATGTATAAGTGTTTTATAGCACCGAAATTGCCCAGCATAGCTCTCCGTGCACAAACACAAACAATTGCCGAAAATATCGTATTTCATCACTAATTAATGCTCCGGAGAGCAAACAACAATTACGATACGTCAGTCGTGTACGGGCAAACAAAAAATGGAGTTCAATTCGAAACGACTCGTATTATAAGGGGAATTCTATCGAATCGAACGTTGTTCCAGTTTTATTGGCAGTTAAGCTTAATTTCTGTTGTTTACTGTTTTCGTATTTCCTATTTATCTTGCGTTCCGCGGATTCACACGGGGATTCTTTTGTTCTACTAGTGGTACTAAACAGAAAAACTATTTTGGGTCCGAGAAAGAGTAATCTTATTTGACTCGATAGACATAAGTGACGAAATTTCTTCATTGTGCCAAATGAAATTGGGTTTTCCTCGTAAAGTCTATAAACAATCCTTCAGGAAATTGACCTTAACAATTATCTCCTGAAATATAGCGGCAAACAAACCAAGTTCTATAACTAGATAACTCAACTTTAATTTAGTTTTCACTTGTGTGTAGGTCCATTGTTTGTTTTAGTTAGTATATTGTGGTTGTTTATTCCTATTTTCGGAAATGCAATCAATGATAGTACTGCATAATTTTAATAACATACTATACATCATTAATATTAGGAGTAGTAGAGGTCCTTGAGAAAGAGTTCGTCCAGGCAAGAACTGCCACCTTACTGTGAGCATTAATTGATGCGTTCCAGTTTTCAAGAGCAAGGGTTCTGGTAAAAATTTGAACTACTAAAATCAAATTTAAAAATTGCTACACGTAAAACATTAAATCACGTGGAGCTGCATTCATAAAGCTAGCCTAGTTTGAATGTAGTTTGGCGAATTGTCTGGCTCTGACATATTAATTACTGGATTGTCCGTCCATCTGTATCTAAGTTGGTAACAATGTGTTTGCTACGCGACTGAATTACCTGAGCGGTACAATTAAAATTTTCTCCTAGGAGACTGAATTACAGACATGAACATCCCAGTGAATAGTTAGCTAATAGCAATACTGATTTTATTGAATATCATGATGATTTTACTACTTATGATATTCATAATAGGTTTTGGCATTTATTAAAATGATCATTTAAAACTTGCTAAAGCAGCAGGCAATAAATGTAAACGGTCATCTTTTTTAGTGATTGATTCTTTTTCTCTGAGACATAGAATAAATTAAATCAATGTATATATTATTCTGTTCAGAGCTAATGTTTGATTTGTATAAATTAACTTTGATATTTTCTTGTTGAGCCTCAAAACCGAGACAAAGGAGCATTAAAAAACCTAAAACCATATCCGGAAACACAAGACATTCACTTCTGGCACTCGCCAGCCGCTGCCGCGACACGCTCGCTTCGCTCGCTCGGCTGGCGCTTCTTTTTCATGTACACACGCCAGCACATCAAGCTACACATTGACGTATCTTGTTCCGTTGCACTGGAGGCGATTTTCGAAAAAAATGTGTAGCCTGATGTGCCGTTGTCCTCACTAACCTAACCTATCCAACTGAATGGAGGGCGCAACCAAGATTTGACCTATATGAAAAAACAGGATCAAATTTTTTTTTACTATTATTATATTATTAATTTTACTATGCTTAAACATAATTATAGTGTTACCTTCAATGCAGTTCATTTATAATTTATTCGTAGATCAACTAACATAGACGAGACAGTTAAAATATGTATAATTATATCAAACGTACAAAAATCTCTTTTATTTAAAAAAGTGCACATTTACAATAGATTAATTGTGTTTTTGAGGATCAAATAATATTATCCCTTAGATTTTTGATGAAAATACCCCACTATAATTATTAATACAAAGATCGAGCACTCAGAAAAAATACTCAGAAAAATTCCTTCGATCCGGTCGGATTCGAACCGACGTCTTCTTGCATACCGTGCCAGACGCTATACCAACCAAGCACGGAACGAACCAACGGACCTCGCGAATTTTTCTATGTGCTTGCGTC